CGGGAGGGGGCGGCTCTGGGGCACAAAGGGGTCCATGAGTCCAGTGACAGCAAACACTAGGCACCTGCAGTGTTAGACCTTCCAGAAATCCGTGCTGAATGTGTGTTTACAGACATTCAGGGCTTTGGGTCTGACCAGGGATGGGTGGTGTAAAGGAATCATTGTCATTCCCCTTTGACCTATCTGAAGACACCAAGACTCCAAAAGTGGATCTGTCTCCCTTTGTTTTATTGTTTAAAAATAGCTTTTCCAAATTCGGGCCAAATGAACAGGGAAATCCTAGGCTACATGTGTTTCTTGGCTGTGCAACTTCTAACATGTAAAATGCTGTCTTGTCCTAACATTTTCCAAAAGACTGGGGCCAGGACAGGAGAGTTAACGATATACAATGTTATCCAAAATTATTTGACCACAGGACTACTTTTCATACCTATTTATATCTCTGAGAACTAGCACCCTTTAGAGCCCCACTTTAGAAAACACTGTTAGACAAGCATAATGCCAAACAGCTTTTACGTTTTGATTTCTATAGAACAGTTTTTGTTTAATTTTTTTTAACGTGTATTCATTTCTGAAAGAGAGAGAGAGACAGAGCACAAGTGGGGGAGGGGCAGAGAGAGAGGGAGACACAGAATTCAAAGCAGGCTGCAGGCTCTGAGCTGTCAGCACAGAGCCTGACGGGGTCTCGAACCCACGAACTGTGAAATCATGACCTGAGCCCAAGTCGGACGCTCAACCAACTGAGCCACCTAGATGCCCCTTAAGTTTTGATTTCTAAATCAAGAATTACCTGACAGCAAACACACAAATGGAAGTATAGATCTCTATACCTTCTTTAAAAAAAAATTGTGGAGATGCCTGGGTGGCTCAGTCAGCTGAGCATCTGACTTCGGCTCGGGTCATGATCTCACCCTTGGTGAGTTCGAGCCCCGCATCGGGCTCTGCACTGACAGCGCGGAACATGCTTGGGATTCTCTCTCTCCCTCTCTCTCTCTCTCTCTCTCTGCCCCTCCCCTGCTCCCTCTCTCTGTATCTCTTGAAATAAATAAAAATTAAAAACACTAAAAAAAAAATTGTGTTGGTGTTCTTGGTGCCGTCTTTAGACTCTCCTTGGCTTTTATTAGCTTCTGGTCATTATGCTCAAAGATGGCTCCTTTTTGGTCTTGAATACAAGACAACTGTCAATAATACGAGTTTTAAAAAGTACCCATACCAAGTGAGTTTGCTCCCTGGAAGGTGTTCCCCCCCCCCCCCGGGGGGATGCTGCTTACCTGTTCCAGCAGTACTGTCAGCCTGCAAACCGCCAACTCCTAGCCACTGTTTTCAGAGCCTGCACCAGCCACATGTTGCAAATACTACTCAATGTTGGCAAATCTGTGTCCCCCACCACCACCCAGCACAGCACCGTGCACTGATTTAGAGTGGATGCTCACTCAGTAAGTTTGGGTGTCTGAGTGCGAGAACACAAGGAAAGAAATAATGGAACCGAGAGGAAGGGGAAGGGGGTAAGGATGAGCAAAGCAGGAGTTGAGAGGAAAGCAAGGAAGCAGGGACACAAGAAGGTACCGCCCACGTCCAACCCAGCCGAGCCTCACTTTACCCGCCCCCCACCCCAGGGGCCTCCCAGGGGCCTCCGGGATCCCTGGCTTCCTACTTGTTGTAGAGGACAATGTCAGGGATCCAGATCATCTCGGAAGGGACCCGGAGGGATGTGATGTTGCCGAAATCAGCCGGGTTCCAGTGCAGCTTGTAATCATTCCACTCCTGTGCATGGGAGGGGGG